CTCCCCGTATGCCTTGCGTACACAAAACGTACGCCCAACGTTCGTGGCTCCGCCCCATAAATCCAAAAGTGGCAATATTAGCCCCTCCTAGCCACAAGTCTTACTTTATAAGGACCAAAAAGCAATAAATCTCAATATAAGGGTCAAAACTGAAAGTACCTCAAAACAAGATGTTACAATTTTACCCTTTTTCTTACTTGACCCAAAACCAAGGCACGACCCATTTGCTCAAAAGGCCCAAATTCCTAAATGGCATCCTAAGGCCCAATATGGCCCAACTTCCTAATTGGGCCCAAAACCATCATGGACCTAATTCCAAAAAAGCCCATAGTCTAGCAATGGCCCAAAGTCAGAAGTCCAATGGCCCAACACGACCCAAACCCTAAAAGTCTAAAATATGGCCCAAACCCGTGAAAGTCAACTAATGGTCAAACTGGTGAGTACGTTGGGCGTACTGATACTTACGCTTAAAGTACTCCTTCCGGGGCCAGTACGCGCAGCGTACGAGCTGAGTATGCCCAACGTACTCCGCAGACAACCAATCCGACCCATTAAGCACTTAATCAGTTAAGCCATTAAGCCAAACTTTAAATATGATCCTAAATAGTGACTTAACACGTAAAGTTGGCAAATTTACTCCCATGCATGACTTAATGGGACCCAAAACTCAAAAAGAACCACATTAAGAATCCTAACACATGAATGGACCAATATAACTCATAAAGGTTGCATTTTTATGGACAGGGGACCTCAAAGGTGTTAAGATCTAACATTCATGCCTTCTGGAGTAGACCGTAATCTCAAATATGGCTTAAAAGACCCAAAAATGCACAAATAACACCTTAAGTTGGATCTAGCATAAAGAACCATCAAAATGAGAGATTTTGACCTCAAATGGCTTGCTAAGATGAAGATGACTTTGGATCTACAAGATCAAGTCACTCTCAAGCAACCTCCAAGTGTTCTTCTTCTTCTACTTCACCAAAAACACCACCAAAACTCACTTCCAAGCTCAAATCTCACAAATGGAAATTAGGGTTGCGATTTTAGGGTATAGATAGATGGAGGGTGTTCATTAGAAGGTCCAAGGGTGTCTTAAGTTGTTTAAATAGGGCATAAACCCTAAAAAGTAGGGTTTGCCCCACGTACGTGGGTTCATCCACGATCTACCAATGAGCTAGTACGCCCCGTGTACTAACTAGGGACTAAAATGATAGGAAATTTACAATAAGGGTTAAAAGAAACATACCCATAATCTCGAATGTTACAACTGTCGACCTCTGGACCAGTGTTGGTGTTGTTAGGGTTCCACCACCGCTTAAGATGTTTCCCACGAACCGATCTATTTGTTTCCCTTCCATTTCTTTCTTTAACCTCCCGTTCTCTCATCTCTAATCACACTCACCCCACCTTTTAACCTCCGCCCTTCTCTGTCTTCTGCAACTTTGTCCTTTTCCATTTCCGGCAACATAATTCCTCCTCTATTGTAGGAAACATTCGCCCCCTACATCCACCAGTTAATATCGTGCCAAGGAGGACAGACCTTCACCTGAGTAGACATTGGGTTTAAATTAGTTAGCATTGAATCGAGCCATGGTTAGACCTAAAGATTCGAGTATGAGTATGTGTCGTCAATCAACAAAGGCACATTTTCTATAGAGGTGACTATTTGATCAACGGAGGCAAATTTTCTACAGAGGCGGGTCATCTCTGCTTCTTCCTCTTCTCAGTTCTCTTATATTTACGATGGATTTGTCCACCGATTCGAAAAAATGAAGTAACATATCTAAATCAAATTTAAGGACTTAAAGGTGTTTCTTGTCTGCGATTTAACTGGTTTAAAGGTGTTTAGGTATAGGATTTTATGGGTTTAAAGGTTTCATTGGAACTATGATCTAGGTTTTTTTGTATGATATTGCATCTGGGTTTTTTCTTGTGGCAACAATGGTATATAGTTTTTATTGATTTCTAGATCTTTGTTCATGATTTGTTGGTAAAGTGAAAATTGATGGATTTTACCAAGAGAAGACAAATGAGTGATGAAAGAAATGGTGAGATGGTGGTGGTGGTGGAGGATACCTTATTTCAGTAACTTCCAAGTACGGTAGGTGGGACCCAATTGTTTTTAATAATATTTTTTAATAAATAAACAAGTAATAAATAATTAAATAATTAAAAAGGTAATAAAAAGGGTAAAATCGTATTTTTTTAGGTATGGCAGAGACAAAACGCGTAACAAAATTACATTTTAGGGACCGTCCGAGTTCAAAAAAAAAGAATTAGAGACCAAATACAAAGATTACCCCAAACCATAGGGACCATTCGCGTAATTTACTCTTAAATTTATGAACACACAGCTCGGGTGAATCTTTTAATTAACATAATTATTAACTTATTATCATTGAAAAGTTAGAAAAATGTGTAACTCATCTTCTCTAATAAATGAATATTTTTTTTTGCCACTTGTCAATCTCTCATTAGTTTTAACATTTGTCATTTTATGGTATTTTTGAAATAAATATTATCCACTTGTCAATTTCTGGTTTGTTTCAATTTTTTGTCACTTGTCAATCTCTCATGAGTTTTGATACTTGTCATTTTGTGGTATTTTTGAAATAAATATTATCCACTTGTCAATTTCTGGTATGTTTCAATTTTTAAAATTAAAGTAATATATTTATATATGTAAAGTATTAAATAAAATATATATGAAATTAAATTGCAATGAGTACGTTTCTTCCTTTCTTATTTTAAAGTTTTACATTAAAAAATATTTACTGCTTACATTTTAATGTTTAAATTTTTTTTAAATTAACCCGTATAATATACAGGTCTCACACCTAGTTTGTTAATTCATCAATATACAAACTATTCATTTAATTAGTTTTCTACTTATTTATAACATAATAATACAAATTTTAGATCGTTTTTTGTTTGTTGAATAAATAAATTAATCATGCATGTACTATAAATGCAATGAAAAACAACTCTATAATTTGCGAGAAATTAAATTAACAAATAACATGATCATATATATAATATAACAATCATATATATTTATTTGTACGTAATTTACATATAGATGATGTATCATACAACAACTTGTGGTGGCATTTAATGTACATGCTTTTAAAGCCCATCTGTTTGTTCACTATATCAGCTCGATCACAGCTCTCTCAATATACATAACTTAAATACTTCGAACAATATTTGACCAGTAAATTACAGCTTAAATGACTTCATTCCATTATTTAATATATATATATATATATATATATAGATATATATATATATATATATATATATATATATATATATACTAGTTTATAACCCGTGAGAACCACGGTTATAAAATTAATTAAACATTCAAATTAAAAAATCAAAAATATTAATCAATTATTTTAAATAAACTATTACTTAAGAGATATTTTTTTAGCTATATAAAATTATAATCGTTGATTTAAATAAATACGTAAAGCTATATCACCTTATAATCTGTATTAATTTTATTTTATTTTTTAATCTAATGTTATTAATTTAATATAATTAAAGTGAAAAATTTTAAAATTTGAAATTTAAAATTTAATGTAATTATGGTAACAAATTTAAATTTGAAATTTGAAATGGATAATTAATATGTTGACAAATGACATGATAGGGACATATAATATTAATGATGAAGTCTAATATAATGACATTTGTCAATATGAGAATAAACATATTCATTTATTAGAATAGGAAGATATATATATAGGGAAAAGTGAATATACCCTTAAGGGTATATAAGCTTAGGTACCCAAACACATCATAATACGTCATTTTATTTGATATATTCATTATAATGTTCTTAAACTTTAATCCGTAACTTGATTTACTTTCAAGATTTTCGAAATTTTACTATTATCTTCCTCTTACATCATACTTTTTGCCGACCACCTATATATATATATATATATATATATAATATATATCTAATATATATATATATATATATATTGTAGTTAAAATGAAAATTATGTAAGAGGAAGATAAATGTGTAATTTATAAAACTCATGGAAGTAAATCAAGTTATAAGTTAAATTATAAGAACATTGGACAATTAGAATGATATGGTAAATTTGGGTACCTAAGCTTATATACCCTTAAGGGTATATTCATTTTTCCCATATATATATATATATATATATATATATATATATATATATATATATATATATATATGGAAGGATTATTTGAAAACAAAAAATCCTAAAAATCATAAAAATGCATAAAAAAATACCTAGAGATCATATAACTTTTTTTTGACTTTTTTTATGAAAAAATCGCAGGTTTTTAAAGAAATTCGTTGAAAAAAAAAATTTATTAAAAAAAAAAATACTTGATTTTTTTTCAGCGAATTTTAATATAAAGCTGCAATTTTTATAAAAAAATTCAAAAAAAAGTTTTGTGATCTCTAAATATTTTTTTTATGCATTTTTTTGATTTTTAGGGGTTTTTGTTTTCCATAGAACTTAAACCTATATATATATATATATATATATATATATATATATATATATCTATATATATATATATCTATATATATTGTTTTTCTTATTATACACAAAAGAACATACGTGGGTGTCAGTAGTGTGTGTAAGAAGATCTTGCATCTTCTCTCATTAATAGCCTCCTCTCTCGTTGCTTATATTTTCTATAAATTTCACTTATCTCTTAGCTTCTTCATCTCTCTCAATCATATATCACTCATTTAACAGGTAAACATTCATAATTTTCATCATTTTCTTGCATCAATGAGTTGTACATATAGTACAACACTGCATCCAAAAGGTCTTGCATCTTCCGCAAGGAACTTATAATCAATGAATAATCTTATTAGGGTTTTCTGATATATATGAACCTTGCATGGTTTTTCAGGCGTTGGATGGATGTTAGGGTGTGAGAAGGAGCACTGTAAGTTTTGTGTTGCCGGATTTAGGTGAACGACTGAACGGTTTCAGATGGAGTTGTCAACGGGTTTGCTGATTTTATCATGTATTGTGATGTATATGATCTGGTTCAAGACCATCGTACGGCCGTTAAAGGGGCCACGTGTGTGGCCGATATTAGGTAGCCTACCTGGCTTAATCCAGAACGCTAATCGTATGCATGACTGGATCGCCGATAACCTCCGCACATGCGGCGGCACGTACCAGACTTGTATATCTCCGGTTCCCTTTTTAGCCCGGCGACAGGGTCTCGTGACAGTCACGTGCGACCCCAGAAACCTTGAACATGTTCTCAAGATCAAATTTGACAATTACCCAAAGGGTCCCACCTGGCAGGCTGTCTTCCATGACCTACTTGGTGATGGGATATTCAACTCCGATGGTGACACGTGGCTCTTCCAGAGGAAAACAGCTGCTCTTGAATTCACCACGCGTACGCTCCGGCAAGCCATGGCACGGTGGGTCAGCCGTGCAATTAAGCTCCGGTTTGTCCCGATTTTGGAAACGGCTCAGAAGGAAGGGACGCCGGTCGATTTACAAGACCTTTTGCTCCGGCTAACTTTCGATAATATCTGTGGTTTGGCTTTCGGGAAAGACCCACAAACGTTATCCCCAGGGTTGCCGGAGAACAGTTTCGCGGCGGCGTTTGACCGGGCTACAGAAGCCACTTTACAGCGGTTTATCTTGCCGGAGACGATATGGAAGCTGAAGAAATGGGTTGGGTTAGGAATGGAGGTTGACTTAACCCGAAGCATGAAACACGTGGATGAATATATGACAAATGTGATTAACACACGTAAGCTGGAATTGCTGAGTCATACAGAAAGTGGGACGCCACATGATGATTTGCTGTCGAGGTTCATGAAGAAGAAAGAGTCCTACACGGATGCGTTCTTACAAGACGTGGCACTGAATTTCATCCTAGCTGGACGTGATACGTCATCAGTTGCGCTGAGCTGGTTTTTTTGGCTTGTGATAAAAAACCCTAGAGTTGAACAAGAGATTCTGAGCGAGCTGTGTTCTGTCCTAATGGCGACACGTGGACATGACACATGTAAATGGGTGGAAGAGCCATTAGTCTTTGAAGAAGTTGACCAATTGACTTACCTCAAAGCAGCGTTATCGGAGACGCTCCGTCTCTACCCGTCGGTTCCGGAAGATTCGAAGCACGTGATCGCCGACGATGTTCTCCCCGACGGCACCGTCGTCCCCGCCGGTTCCTCCATCACTTACTCGATCTACTCAACCGGCCGGATGAAATTCATTTGGGGAGAAGATGTTTTGGAATTCAAACCGGAGAGATGGCTATCGAAGGATGGAAAGAAATTCGAGTTCAAGGATCAATACCGATTCGTCTCGTTCAATGCAGGTCCACGAATTTGTTTAGGAAAAGATCTGGCTTACCTTCAGATGAAATCGATAGCGGCGGCAGTGTTGCTCCGGCACCAGTTATCCGTCGTCACCGGCCACCGCGTGGAACAGAAAATGTCCTTGACGTTGTTCATGAAATATGGGTTGAAGGTCGATCTCCGCCCTAGGGATTTGACGCCGATTGTGGAACAAATTGCGAAACTTCAGGCACGGGGCTGACACGTGGCATGTGGTTAAATTCAAAGGAAAATAATGCTATATTATTATTGTTATTATTATCCTAATTTGTTTCTTTAAAGAAAATTAATAAACACTTGTGAAGAAAACAAAATAAGGGAGCTTGAATTTTTGTGAAATACTATAAAAAGATTCAAAAAAAAAAAGTGTAAAGTATGTCCAGTTACATTGTAAATTAAAGTTTTATGATTGCTTTAGTTACATTTCAATTTTTTTTGGCCTAACTATTGCATATAAATTTTCGATATTGCATCTTTATTTGAAAATTGAAAAAATGACAGAGTAGTCTTACGATCTTTTGCATATTTGTTCATTTAGCCCCTTAAGTATTTTATATGATTTATGAAGAAATTAGCTTTGAAGTGATATGTCCTTTTAATCCCCTTAACCTGAAATAACAATTCTATCTACCAAAATAACCAATTGAAAATCAAAGGACACCCATTGATCATGGTTGGAAACCAGAATCACGGCACGACCGGCGGAACGTCAATGTATGATCAATCTTGTTCTTGATCTTAATCAATGCATCGAGGACCATAGGATCACACTCCTTAAGGTTGATTTATAGTTTTGGAGCTTTGGTTTTTTGTTGGATCAATCTCTGAAAAGTCAAAATTGGTGTTCTTGTTATTTTTATCATCGATAATTTTTTTATCGGCCGCTTCATATATCTTAATGATCGATGTATACTTCTCTTGATCCCTTATTATTAATCGATTCTGATTCGTGAATTGATTTTTGAACTTGTTAATCTGCAATGTCAAAAATGATGTGATTCACAAAGGTTTTAATCGAAGTATCAAACTGATTGAAATATTGATCACGAATCTGATGTGGTTTAATAACTTTTGGTTTGGGGCTCATGATCATCTTTGGGAATTATGATGAATCGAAGTTTAGAATTTGAAGAATACATGTGAAGAAAAAACGATGAAAATGAAAGAGTTGGTTGAATTTGATATGAAAATATTTTTTGGAATTGAAAACTTGAGATTATCGAAAGATTAAAAGTGATTGTTGAGGTCGATAGCCTTAGAGTGAGTTTGGACTGATAATTTAATTCAATGATCTGTATTCGAAGGAAAAGTCAAAATTAGTGTTCTTGATGCATATGAACCAAAAGTGAGACAAACTTTAATCCATTCGCGGTGGGAGGCGAATGAACCTTAAATAGTAACTGGTTTTTTGGTGGATAGATTCGCAGCTCGGTTTTAGGTTGGGTCTATCAAGATCCAACTAAAAGTCATGTGCTTTTCAAGATTCGATTGTATTACCTGATCATCGCTAGAAAACTTCATGTAACACCCTGTCCCGAATCGTTCCCATTTGGGTGTGGGTGGCGTAATTTAGATGATCTGGGTGTTCAGTTTGTGTTTTGGAGCCAAGGGGCATTCTGGTAAAGTGTCAGGTTGGACCTTGATGGAAGTTGGATTTTTATTTGGGAAGTTTTGAGGCGATCATGAGATGATTAAAGTGTAGAACTTCTCGTTACCTTTTCAGGGATATAAGGATCGTCAGAATCGGGTTTATAATGAAGAAGTTATGGCTCTCGGAAGAATTTAGGGTTTTGGGGGAAAACCCCTAGTACGTGGGGCGTACATGGGGAGTACGTAGGGCGTTCTCATGCGAGGACCCTTACGCGAGGCGTACCTTGGCGTACGCTGAGCGTAGTCAGCTGTTTGGTCACGAAGCTTCGGCCTCGTACGCTGGGCGTACGAGGAGTACGTTGGGCGTACGAGGGATTCAAGAAACCCTAATTAAAGGGTGTTGTACCCTATTTAAGCACCTTAAGTCTTTAAGGCTGGCCTCTTTACCAGTCCCGAAATCTCCAAAAACCCTAAATCGTCCCTTAAGCTTCCTTGGTGGTGTTCTTGAGCCCTTGAGAGGATTTTAGTGGTTGTTTTACTCATTGTGAAGGAAGTTTTGAAGATTGAAGGTGCTTTGCTTAGAAGGAAGTGTTGGATTAATGTCTAAGTCCATAACTATAATTGGTAAGACTTGACCCGACCCGGCATGGTCCATTTGGGTTGCATGGCATCATGCATTTGGATAAACTATAATGAGAGAAATAACACTTAAGGTTTGTTAATATATTATAAGTTATAATATATTAATAAGATTATTTAATTAGTATTGATCAAGAATTAATCTAGAATTAATTAAGTGATCAAAAGAAGACTAATTAAATATATGGGTTGATTGTGTAAATCACCCATACTTGTATAGTGGGCTAATGCTCCATGGATTGTCAAGTTGGGCTAAAACCCATAAGATGCTCCATGGTGTATTTGAACCCATGGATCCAAGGAAATGGAAAGCCATGACAATTAGGGTTTACCCTAATTGTCACTAACTATATAAGCATCTTATTGTTGACAAAATCGGCCACTAGGGTGATAAAAAAAGGGCTAGCCGATTTTCATGAAGTGTGTATGTTCTCTCAAGTTATTCCAAGTGTATTTGGTGTTGTGTGAACCATTTGAGGTGTCACACTTGGGGCACTAGGCACTCAAGCTTCATAAAGTCATTCTACATCAAAGAGGTATGTATTCTAACTTGTTATATTTCATATGAATCAAAGGTTTTGTATGCTAGTTAGTATAATACCTTGGATATTCATATTTGCATGTATAATAGAGAAAACATAGATCCAAGGTATTTAGGGTTGCATGTACACTTAGGAGTGTTAGAATGCTCAAAACCCAACAGTGGTATCAGAGCCTAGGCTTGTTTTCTTGTTATACTTGCAAAATCTGCTTAAAAATCGAAGTTTTTTGTTGTCTGAACAGCAGACTCGCCGAGTCCATAAAGGGACTCGACGAGTCCTTGCCTTAAAAGTGTTCAAAACGATCCAACTCGTCGAGTTGGTTCATGCACTCGACGAGTTGGACCCCCCTGACAGCATATCTTCGAGTTTTTTGGCTAGAAATGGACTAGGAACATTACCATAAGCTGTTTTTGAACCTATAAACCTGTTTTTGATGTGGTAATGTTCATGCTAATCCAATTTCAAAGATAATTGTCAATAGATTCATGTTTTGTATTAGTTTAAAAGTTATGCTAATTACATGAAAAAGTTTGATCCATGTTCATATGAGTTGCTTAGATTAATAGAAAAGTTAATTGATTATGTGTTTTCAATCCATTTTAATCTAAGAGCTGATTCTAAAATGTGTTTGTGTAACTTGTCCTCAAGTTACATGAAAGGTCACATTTAAGTTTCTTAAAAGTCATAAAAGTTGGCAAAGGTTACAAAATGAAGAGTCTTGTCCTCATTAAATGGTTTTATGACTCCATAACTTGTCCTCAAGTTATGGAGGTTCAAGAGTCACTTCATTAAATAATAAAAACGTGTAACCTTAATTAGTTCCATAAGTTACAAAAGAAGAAGAGTTACATTCTTTAATAGTTTAAAGTCTTCCATAACTTGTCCTCAAGTTATGGAACTTGAAGAGTTTTTTCTTATTTAAAACTACTTTAAACTCATGAGTTATGGAGTTAATTAGTTTTGAATATTTTCAAAACTTGCCCTCAAGTTTTGGAATTTGTAAAGGTTCTCTCATGAATACTTTAATTCCAAGTTAAGCCCTTAGAATTTTAAAAGTTAAAATTCAACCCTTATACTTTATTATATAAGTTAATAATATAAATATATATATATATATATATATATATATAATATATATATATATATATATGTTGTGTGTGTGTGTGTATAAGAGCAAGTCAGTCTTACCATTAGTAGGCCTCATTCACGAAGCCGGTCTATAAGGGGGGTATAAGTTGTTGCTTATAAAAATGGCAGCTTAATGGGTGTCCACTCTCACCCACCGCTTCCTTGACTGGTGGAGGGTCGTTAGCCGAACAGGTAGGACAAGGACTATAATTCTCCCTTCATTAAAAGTATTAATGATAAATACTAAGTAACTAAACCTTTATAAATTCCCAATCTTAGTTACTTAGGAAAATATGAATAGGTGTTAATCCATGAAATTACACTTTGCACTTTGTTTAAAAACGTTAGTGGAGCGTGTGGTGGTTAACCGGCACACTAACCTGGATTTAACAAGGTAGGCAAAGGGTAACTTAATATTTATCATAGTATCGGTGGAGCTCGTGTGGTTAACCGGCACATCGATTGAGGGGTATATTAAGGGTATCAAGTATATTTGCATGGTTACTTCACACCTTGTTTTTGTGATCCTCAGCATCCCAGTCACAAACCTGAAGGGACACTCGAGATTGAAACATGCCGTTGAAAAGTTCAATGAATCTCAAAAGATCTAGGAGTTTCAAATCCAATTAAAACTTAATTATATTTCGTTTTCATGGTGGAAATTGGTAAATCGTCATTTTACCTACCTTCAACTATTTATAACTCGGATTACGGCATCCCTCTTCCAGTTATAAATAGGTTGTTGGATCCTAGCCTTAATATTTCATATTGGTGTTATATTAAGGACTTTAAAATCAACTATCTTGAATATCTCCCAAAAGATGTCTAGCTCAGACATCTATGATCTTCCCAAATCTCTTGGAACTTTACCTTCCTCCACCTCCTACAATTATTCTCTCCCTAACCCACAAGTTCAAGGTCACTCAAGCCCTAATGGCAAGCAAGGTCTATGTGTGATCACATCTTGGAGATGAAGAAGTCACATATTGACAAGCCGGGAGAGTTGGGTGTCAAAGTCTTAAGAAAGTTGGATGTTCAATCACTTTCTAAGTCACATAGTGAGTTCCTTTGGGACTACTATGAAACAGACTATGACTGAACCTTAATGATCATATCTATTTGCTTGGTGCTACTGAATCCAATGATTTGGAGGACTAGTAAGCAAATTTGATTAGAAGATCAACTTCCCAAACTTCCATGGACTTTGAAAATGGTACATTGGATATCCAGAAAAGCTTTTCGCTTCCCAATGGAAAGGGATTGGCCATAGTCAACTCGGTTGACCAAATGGTAAAGAGAAAGG